AAATAGGAATTCATTTGTCATGTTTGTAAGATGACAGGGAAGTATTTTTCATATGTTTGAATACAGGGGTGAGATTTATACCAAATACTGTTTATTAGATCATGGAATTGTAGGTGAGTGAACTGGCATTAATGAGGATTCAGCCTTTTGAAAATGATTTAGCTCAGGTTTTTAAAATTTCTTGGGATAAAGTATGTTGCACTTCCTACCCAATTGTAAAGAGCAGACATAATAACTTCTTACACTCGAATTAGAGTTGACAAGAATTGTATGGAACTAGGTATGGTTATTAACAAACGAATTAATTTGGTAAACAAAACTCTCTGCACATCATTTGCTCAAGAATCCTTGTGTTTGAACTAATTTTCATGTTACTTTGTAGCGAGAATTGACACAACCTAAATTCAATTTTGGCACTTACAACCTTCGACTTCACTTTACAAACATTCTTTTGAAATATGAATAATAAATATCAGACAAAAAAATCATACTTTAATTATGTTTGTCCTCTCTGATATGAATTCAAAATACTTTTTTTCTCACGAGTATGCAAAGTGCATTACACTGCAATATTGATGAGAGTTACAGTTTTATATTGTGAAACTAAATGCTCGGTCAGTATATTAAAGGCATGGAAATCAGGTATGTGAAGATTTTGCAGAAGACAACAAATAATTTTGCTTATACATTTTCCTCCTGTTAGATTTGCGGTACAGTACATATTGACCCAATGCCACAGGAAAATGTTGCCTTCACTTTAGTATTGTTTTGTTGATTGTTTCTGCACATAGATGGTTCTGCCAGTGCTTAGCCACAAAGGATTCAGTAAGTAGATCTTGTGACCTTGTCTTTCCTTGGAATAGCAGGAAAATGTTTTTTTTCTTACTAATGCTATCGATATCGACAGTTTTGTTAAAAACATTATAATTACTATATTGTTATTGACTTTACTAACAGCAGTATTAAATACTAGAAAATATAAAAAATCAAGGAAAAGGGTGAACAGGTAAGATAGGTAGTTCTTGTAATCGGCTCATTGGTAACTGAGTACTTGTGGAGCCATCTATATGTAAAAACAGTTACTAAATTAAACACAGTGGGCAGGGCATGTACGCACATGCCATCCCCGGTGGCAAGTGGTTAAGATATCCCCACTTATTTATTTATTTTTTTTATTTAGATAAATAAAAACAGTATATTTCTTTTCTGATATTTTGCTTAGCTCATTTGTATATATCAAATTTAAGGTTTGTATGCAGATTTCCCCCAGGACCATTTGTATATATATATATATATATAACTTTGTGATGCTCTGTTTCTTATAAGCACTGTCATTTTCTTCTTAAGGCACTTTCTTTGTATGTGTTTTGTTAAACAGACAGACTTTTAGTACATAAATAAATTTGTGTGAGAGAAGTATTATTTTCAGAAAATGGGGTGAAAGTTTTTCAACAGAAAAATCTTGATATGAAAATATTTTGTCATGTTACAATATGTGAAAAGATAAAATGTTGAACACAAACTTTAAAGTGGGAGGAAATAAACAAGAATGCAGGTACAAGTTTCATATTATAAGAGGAAAATAAATTAGAATTTTCAGTCATGGTAAAATTGTATATCCTGTGGAAGAGAAGGAATGGTAAATAGTGAACTATACAGAACTGCTTATGTGGGCATGAAATACATTGTTTATGACCCGCGAAATGTTAAGATATAATTTTTACTTCATGCAAATGAAAACATAGTAGAAAAGTTAGGCCTCTAAAGGGATCACAGTTTCGTGTCAAGTGTTAAATATCCTTGATGTTGAAAATATGGTTTTATGTTTTAACCTTGTTTCAGCATATTGAGTATATACAATGAGAAGTATAAGAGACTGTATTGTTATTTTTGGGAAAAATAAAAGCATTTTCAACCTGCACCAATTATTTGTGCAAGTCTTTATTATACCAGCTATCATCACTGTAACAATCATATACATTAAAGGACAGATCACCAACCAAAATGCTCAGCTTAAAAGAATTGGAAAAAGATACAAATTTACAACTAGATGCTGACTGAGCATACCTGCCGTGTTCAGAACGTGAATTACTGTTCTTACATGCTATATGCTAATGAATGAAAACATTATTTGTATTTGACTATGGTTACTGACATAAACCGACTTTATTCATTGGAATTTTAACTAACTGGTAGTACACAATGAACTACTTCACTAATTATTTCTGGATGGACCCACTGTGTATATTTACCCAAAATATATTGATAATAAGTTTACACTCAGCTAAACAGCCAAAGATCAACCAACCAATCTGAAACTTAAAACGTGAGGAAGAACAATGAAACCCTGAGCATTTCCGATCATCACATTCAACCTTTATATGTCGTTCCCAAAGTTCTTACAAGCAATATTTCCCCCTTAATTTAGTAAATACTATCACTTATTGAGCTTAAAGCTTACTGTTAAATAACAATCACTGATATGCTGCTTAATGAATAC